TAATTTGGAACTTTTGCGTAACAATCAAACCCTAAATTACAACCCAATGAAGCTCAATTTCATGAATCAAGCACATGCATGTCCCAAATTGACTCAAACTCATCACCAACACACTAAATTCAAACATTCAAGGTTCATACTTCCATGATTTGCACTTGGATGTGGAATATACACAATATCCTCAACTTAATCGGTGAAGAGGTGATCAAATATATGCACTTAAACCAAAAATTCAACATGGATCATACACATTGTGCTCAAATATGGAAATTCATAGTAATTTCCTACATGCATGTTTCTATTGACTTTAAATTCAACAAATACAACTCAATTTCCTTATAATCAAACTTGAATTCACAATTTACAACATTAAACTACTTTTTATGAAAAAATGTACAAAAAAATAGAGAGGGTGATGTGACAATATATAGTGATTTTTTTGCTAAAATAACTATTCCCTAAACGAGACCTAAATTAGACGTGCTTGAAAGGCTTGTCACCCGGCCAATTTTCTCCAACCGTGGTTGGTTCTTCTGGTTAAGCGGTTCAGTTGAAGTAAAATAGATGGATTTTCAAGATGTAACATGTTTGAGGGTATATTCAGACCGAAATTTAGACTGGCCAAACTAATTGATCTGATCCGATTTCAAAAACATTGTGCGTCAATAAAACACTTTTAAAATGATCTATTATATATAATTATGATACTTGTAAGAATGATTACTACAAATATTATAATTAAATCATTTTAATTATAACTAAACATAATATAAGGTATCTTTTTTATCATAATTAAAATAATGTTATAATCAACAGTACAGTAAATCATAATTAATACCACAATGTATATAACCAAATTATAACGAAGTTATAACTAATATGACAATAGGTCAAAACTAAAAAATCATAAATATTGTAATTGAGGCATATGGTATACACCCCACTTAGGAATGTGTACCATAAAATTTCCCTTTGAAATTTGGAAAACTCTAATTGCTATGCCACAACAGGGTACAATAAACGATTATTGAGGTACAATAAGGATAATAACTGTTATTGTTTATTGAGTTCATTGACAAAGTTTTGAAATAACATTCAAAACAACAAGAGTAAATTATACTTGTCTTCCATAAAGTTGGAAAGAAATATAGTAATTACCATAATTTTAATATAATTATATTGATTTTATCTCATTATATCATTTTTTTATTACATCTCTATCTCATTATATCATTTTTTTATTATATTGATTCTATCCTAAGGCTAGGTTTGGAAAGATGGTTTGTGGCTATTTTAGTCACACAAGAGAAAATAGGTTATTTTAACCACAACAAACAAAACATCACATCCAACTCATAATCATTACGCTCTTCTCTCACAAAAAAAGTCAAAAAGCCCTTCCCAAATCAAGTTTTTTAACCCAGGCTAAAATAGCCAAAAAAGCCAAAAAATCAAAAAGTCAACCCACTTCTCAAACGAAGCCTAATCTCTTTACATATTTTTATTCCACTTGTACTATCATCCTTAACATTATTTTTTCTCCTTACACCCAAATTTTTTCAAACCCTAACTCATCCATCTTCAACTAATATAGTCGCCGACACCATTACCACCTCTAAGCACCACCTCACAACTCCACTATCATGACAAGCAGCACACAATTCCTCACCGCCACAATCAAAACTCCATAGTGTCTTCCATGACTACTACTTCCGTAATTTTTTTTCAACGTTGTGTTTTGTTTCACGAATCAGAATTGAACAAATTTTGTTTGTTCAGTAGAACACGGTTGAACAAACGATTAGAAACGGCTGAATAAATCAAGTTTGTTCAATCGTGTCCCATTAAATAGCCAAAATTGATTAATTAATCATGTCTGGCTATAGAAGTCTAAACAAACTTAAATTGTTCAGTTACCAAAAACCAAACAATCTCAATTTATTTAGTAAGCTAGAGTTGAAAAGAATTTCAAACCCACTTTTTTTTTTTTTTTTTCCTTCTCCCAAATAATGCAAAACTACACAAAAAAAACCTTATACATTATTCATTTATAAAGATTATATATACATTCTAAATATAAATTTTACTTCTTTTTGTTTGTTGTTTATTGTTATTTATATGTATATATATATATATAATGTATTTGGATTTATAGATGGATAGAAAGAGCGAGAGATAGGAAAAAGGTTTGAGATGCTTGGTGGAGAGCAAAGATGGTGGTTAGGTGGTGGTGGTGGTTGGTGGAGGATAATGAGGTGGTGGTGGTGGATGATGGAAAAAAGATGAATGGGTGTAAAGAGAAATATGAAGGGGAGGTTTGAGACCTTTAATAAGCTAAAATATTAAGATAAGGGGTGTAATAAGCTAAAAGTGTTGTGTAAGTGTAAGAAAAATTTCTCATCTTCAAGTTGTATTTGATGTGAAATGACTTAATTGCTACTATTTTAACAAGTAAACAAGTAATTACTATAAACTTGTTTCAAAATCATTCAAAAAATATATAAATAATATTCCAAAAAAAAAAAAATCCCCAAATTTTTTACCATAATCAAGAGAAACTACAAATTTCAAAATACAGCATTCGCTCCTTCCCTCAATAACAAGGGACATTGGTGTCACTATGATCTCGTTTGAGAATTGACTATTTTAGTAGGTTGTTTTAATTTTTAACTATTTTAATAGGTTAAAATATTTGTGTTTAGAAAAAGAGTTAGATTTTTTTGTAATTAGATATGATATTTATAAGAGAAAAAAAAATAAAATGATTATGAATTTAATGTGATATTTTATCTCATTAATAATTATTTTAACCTATTTTAACAACAACAACAACAACAAAAACAAAAAAAAGGCCTAAAATAGGCTTCCTAAACACCGCATATTTCATTGGAATTGCGACATAAGGGACATTGGTGTCACTATATTTCATTGGAATTGCGGCATAATGTAACGCGAATATTCACATGGAAGAATGTACATATTCAGTAACAGTATTTACACTTCACATTCATATAAATATCAGATAATATTTAATAAAATGAATGGTTCAAGTTTAAATATTGAAAGTTATTCATATACTTTTAAGATTTTATAGGCTATGTTTGGTAGAATTGTTAAAACAGATTATAAATTATACCTTAATAGATTATAGATTATGATTTTAATTAAAAATTGTTAATCTGTTTGGTGTAATTATTGGATTATAAATTTAAGTTGCTGAATAATGTTTGTTAAATAAACTGCGAAGTAATTTTTTTAATTAACTTTTATTTTTTGTTATTCACTATTTGTTTACATTTTTCATAATAATAATAATAATAATAATAATAATAATAATCTACAGTCAATTTAAGTCTTTTTCTATTTTAAAAAAAATAAAAATAAAAAAATTTAAGAATATAATCATAAATTAACATGTCCACAATATAAACTGATAATCAAAAACAAAGAGTGAATAACTTCTCAGAATCAACCTTTTTGAATTAAAATAAATTGTTAAACTTAGAAACTGCTTGAAATAAATTTAACCAAATAGTCCAAATTAATATTTCTAAAGTTAGAAGTCATAAGTTAACTTAAAAAAACCCAAACAAACACTCAATAATATCGTTGTACCAAATTAATCTGATATTTTATTGATTATATAAATAACTTTTATTATAAAGCGTACCAGGTAATCAATTAGGATGATAAGTGCGAATTTAAAATTAAAAATAATACCCACTTTAATGATATAATAGATGCAAGAATAAAATTGATTAAATTATATAACAATATTTGTTAAAAGAAATGATTCTGCTGGGAGCAGGCCAATAGAAGCCATCCTCTCACCAATTTGCCTCCCTATTTTATTTATTTATTTATTTTATGGTTGCTTGCTTGCTTGCTTATGAATTGCTTCTGAGGCCGAAGAAAGAAAGAAAGAAACAGACAAGAAAAAAAAGAAGGTGAAATTGCAGGCAACATTCTTTCACAACCCAGCAAAAATTCTGAACAAATATCTGACCACAGGTGGGTAGCCCGTCCAAAGGAAGAATACCATGGAGGACTTTGCACAGTTGCTATATCAATTGGAAAACATTTTTTAATGACTTAATTACCTGGAAGCAAATCCCATAAAAATATGAAAAATACAAAATAAAAAAGAAGAAAGGAAAAAAAAGTGAAGAAGTTGTACTTTACCTTGCCAATCGCAGACAAACCACTAAAGATGTGGATTTCTATCATATAAAATGGCCCCGAGTCTGTTTTATTAATTGGTACCAGCACCTTATATATATAGCTAAGGCTCGAAGAGTTCGCAAATGTACTTGTACACAAAACATATGGCAAAACTCACATGCTAAAAAGCAAAGATATCTCCAGGAGACACATGGAATAGAAATAGGAATAGGAATAGGAATAGGAATAGGAATTGGTGACTCTTCCTCAATTCTGCCAGTGCTCTCCAGCTGGTTACTAAGCGGGCAGTGTGGTCGGAAAATCACCCACACAATATATATATATATATATATATATTGCTTCAAAATGGTGGTATCCATCCATCCATCCATCCTTGGGAACAAAAAAATAAAAACATTCTTCTTTCAACTATCTGCACCACAATTAATATATATATATATATATATTATATAGCAACCACCTAAATTCAGTGAGATAAAGATTGAGGAGATCTGCAGGAAAAAAAGGCAAAAGAAAAAAAAAGTCACTAAAATTTAAAACTAACCATGCGGAGACTGAGAACTTGTGGTGGAGAAGTCAGATGAAGAAGCCATTGGGATCGAAATTGAGAGTTGAGTGGTGGAGAATGAGGTCTGGTTTGATCTCTCATCTTCAAGACCAGACCAAGTATCCCTTGTCGTCCTTGGCCACTCATCAAAGAAAGGTCGAAGGAATTGAGTATGAACACCCTCCTCTTTGACATGTTCTCCTCCCGTGCCAAAGTCATTGCTGCTGAAAAATGAATGTCGAGGATGAGGTGGAGGATAATGATTCTGATGCATCATGGAGTTGTCACTTGCTTTCGATGTGGGAAATAGGGACACTCGAGATGGCATTAGTGGCCATGTGTTGTCTACAGCTACCGGTGGTGAATCCATTTGGAGATCCCTATTGCTTCCTGAAGCTTCAGAGAAGAAACTATGCTCACCCACATCAGGTTTAAGTCCATGAACATACCTGCATGTTCGATTATCTATCTATGAGTAGCATTTAGGACAACTTATGTCTATAATCTATCTTCTTAATCTCTCAAATCACAACTACTTGGTTTTATTAAGTGCTTTCAAAGAACACATAATTCTCTGAATCAACCATATCATTTATATCAAAATTTTGTATAAATAGAACTAAACATGAATACAGGTTAGCATATTCCTTTACTTACAATATTGCAACAACAACCCGTAAACAACTTTAACTTGAAAAAAAAGAGAGGCTGGAATGGCGGAGTGAACCTCAATTAAATTATTAAACAGGAGACCAGAAAACTAGGAGCTAAGCAAACACAACCGAAACAGATGTAGCACAAAAGCTGTGCAACTATGGAAAGCCCTTCAGTCAAACATAAACTGAATATATCAAGTGAAAGGGGCAGCAGGCTTGAAGTTAAAGAAACCATGGTTTTGAAAATAAATGAATTGAAATCCACATTAAAATCGTGGGGATCAACCATTATTAACTTTTTGAATCCATTAATCTACATAAGCACCATTCTCATCTCAGCACAACAATCTATTCCAGTCAATAAATGTATTTCTTCTGTTGAGCAATTTTAGTTGGAAAAGTCAACCACGTTCTTTTTCTTTCTTTTATTTTCTTCCCCCTCTCTCTTTTCCAAATACAAAAAAGGGGGCATTGTCATGGTGGTATTAAGTCCCAGAATAAGAAGACAGCCAAATACCAGCAATTAAGCATACTTAAGAGAGGAAATACTTGATTTTAAGTATAGACATATTAATGAGACTGGAAACTGTTAGGCATGGCCCAAAACTTAAGGAACTGAACGGGATGAACAATCTGTTACTAATTAGCATGCCCAGGAAAATTTCAAATGCTTGTCCGATTTCTGCAGCAAGTTTCACAGAGAAAACAAAAGGCAAAGAAACAGACCAAAAAGAAAATGTGTGTGAACCAACACACGATGCAGAGACAAAGAATTCAACCATTCTGATTGATGGGCATCAGGGCCCAGAAACCAGAGTGTTAAAAGGTTTCAACCAGATATCCAATACTTTCATAAGGCATCAGGCCTTAGTTTCAGATCATTCCACACAATTTTACTTATGGGCCCAACAGATATTACGTTCCATGACAGGTACAGCAGCTAAAGTTTTCCAACCAATTGCTTTCACACAACATTTTTTTTCTTCTTCTTAATTTTTGATAAGAACAATTAAGACAGGGCTGCATAAGCTGAACTACTACTACCAGCATGTTAAACAGCAAAATGCAGTAATACCTGTAATCTTTGCGAGGAATCCCATATGGAATGGATTCGAGGTGGAGCTGGGATTGGTTACTTCCACCAGAACCAGCTGCTGGGGCCTGAGTGTTACCAAAGGAGTGCAGCAAGGGAAGGTTTTGGAAGCTTCCAGCTCCACCACTGCCAGTGTTGCTTCTTCCGGCCGGGGCAACAGTCAGAGATGTCAAGGTGGTGGACGATAATGACGATGACTGTGAGACAGTTTGGGATTCCACAGGCTTTCTTGAACGGTTGCGACCACGGTGCATATGGCGCTCACAGTACTTGGAGTCCGGGTATGCATCTTTGGAGCACCTCCACTTCTTTCCATCAGTCCTCCTGCATCTCCCGGGCTCTGGGTCCACCTTCTTCCCATACAAGGAACAATAACCCACTGCAATATATATATACATATATATATATATATTAAATTAAAGCTCCAAGTAATAAAATATATACACTCTAATGATGCTTCACTTTCTCACTGCTGCTGGCAAAGCAACAAAACAATTAATCATCATAACCAAAAATATACGACTTAACCGCCAGACAATATGGCCTTAATTAGCAGAGCAGCTAAATCTGCTGACAACGGCGCAATTACAATTACAAACGCCAAGATAAAAAAGATTAGGCGGAAAAAATGTTCACAAGTACAAAAAAAAAACAGGGTAGATGCAGGTAAATATGTATATGTATATATATAAATGGTCGCCCCATCACAAAAACACAAACTTGATCATTAAAAAGAATCTCAAGCACAAGGGATTTCGAACTATTTCCATCAATCAACTCAACCCAAACCAAACCAAACCAAACAGCACCTACAAAACTAAAAGGGAAAATCAACAATACTGGCAGCAGACTAAAAAAGAGTAGTTTAATCGAAAAAAGAAAAGTTAAAGAAAACATTGAACAAGATTCATAAAAATCAATTATTCAAGGAGGTTAATTGAGAGAGAGAGAGAGAGTACTGGTGGGTTGGTGGAAGAAGGTAGTAGCAGATATATAGTCGAAGCTCTTCTGAATGAGAAGTACGAGATCAGGTGGGACAGGCAATCCAGCCATCAGATATTTAAAGATCAGAGCTTGATGCTCCAACTCCTGCCACTGCGACACCGTGAACGGCGACGCCGACGACGATCTCATCCCTGCCACCGACGCGGCCACCATAGACGTACTGTTCATACCCACCCACCAGCACCGCTACCCTTTAGTCTTCCTCACAAAAAAGCAAAGCACCAAACGATCAAGCTGAAAAGCTCAGACATATATATTATATGCAAATACACAGATGCTTAATTTAAGCCCAAACGCAGAATCAGATCGCACTGCGTTCCCCCTTCCCAATGGTACGATGGAAACCCAAACTGCAAAGATTATCAAAAATATATATATATATATATATATTATGAGATGGGAATCAGATCGCACTGCGTTCCCCCTTCCCAATGGTACGATGGAAACCCAAACTGCAAAGATTATCAAAAATATATATATATATATATATTATGAGATGGGGGGCGGGAGGAGGGCAGTAGGGAGGAAGGTTTAAAGGAAGTTGTGCGAACTTCAGAGGAAATTTTTAGACAGAGACAGAGAGTAATACTGCTGTGTGTGAGAAAGAGAGAGAGTGAGAAATAGGGAGAGGGGTGTGTCCGTCTGTGTCGCACTGTCTCTCTGCAGGGAAAACTGTGGGTATTTTGGGGAGATGTTTGTTGTTGTTGTGGTTGTTGTTGTTGTATGTGTTTGGAAAGGGGGGGCAGTAGTATTCTGTTCAGAACCCCGGCCCCAATCAACCCTCTTCCTTTCATTTTTTAGTGACATGAAGAAGCAAGCATTAAAAGGCTTTAACCATTCAACCATTCCATTAGTATCAATGTAAGATAAATAACATGCTAATCAGTGACGGTCACCTAAAGCTTCCCTTTCATTTTTAGCGAAAAAACAAAGGGGAGGTTATGCAATATGCATTGCATAGCGTATGTTTGTGCTAGCCGATATTGCCTGTGTTTGGCAAGTGGGTTTGCAAGTTTTTTTTGGTTATTTTAGTCATAAAAAACAAAATAGGTTATTTTAGCCATAACAAACAAAATATCACATCCAATCCATAATCATTACATTCTTTTCTCACAAAAAAACTCAAAAAAGTCAAAAAGTCAAAAAGCCCTTCCCAAACCAAGCTTTTAAGCCCAGGCTAAAATAATCAAAAAAGCCAAAAAGCCAAAAAACCAACCCACTTCTCAAACGGAGGCATTATCATCATGATGTCGTCCTCCAAGATTAACGGATTAAAAAAAATAAAAATAAATAAATAAATAGAATAAAAAAAAGTCCAATTCATATGTCAGTTGGATAAAAAAATTACAATATTTTTTTAGAGTGCTCAGTTCGTAAGTTATTTTTATAAACTTTGAAGGTCATAGATCCATGCTCCTTTCGTTTGAATCTATAAGGACGATGATAACGATTGTCACGACTCGAACTCGTCCTTATGGGTTAAGGTCATAACCGGCTAGTAATCACGAGATTACCTACGGCCTCAAATCAAATAAGACAAAACTCATCAGGGTAAAGGAGCTGAACGAAAGCAAATTTAAAATTTTGTCCATAGAGCCGTGCTTATATGCTCATCATAACATTCCACCCATACATATGTTAATAACTCACAAACAGAAAGTATAGTAACATAAAGTTCTATACAGACAAGATCATCCAAAAACTAAGTCAACCCATGAAAACTATATACAGACAAATGCAAAGTGCTCGCCAACATGACAAAAATAACATAGCATAACAGAAAGGCGAAGACGAATCTCGTGCGTGAGACATTAGGGCTGATTCTCCAAAACTCGGTTGTTCCACATAGACTTCACTGGGGCTGGGTCTGGACCTCTCTTGACTCACCTACAAACACATGAATGAGAGTGAGCGATAGCCCAGTGAATAATATCAAATAAGAAGATACAAACGATATGTAGAGCAACATACTCCGAACAGCCTTGGGCCCAATTCACATTTTTATTTAACATTTATATACACGATTTAAGTCAAGTGACTGTGGTTTCAAACATACTGGCCTTCGGCCTATTCATCTTTCATTTGTCAAACTGGCCTTTGGCCCATTCAACTTTCATTCATGTCAAACTGGCCTCTGGCCCATTCATGCGTGTCAAACTGGCCTCTGGCCCATTCATGCATGTCAAACTTTCATTTGGGTCAAAACGGCCTTTGACCCAATCATTTGTGTCAAAACGGCCTTTGACCCAATCATTTATGTCAATCGGCCTTCGGCCCAATCATTCATTCTTGTCAAAACGGTCTCTGGCCTTTTCAAACTTTCATATTAAGCTGTGTCCACCGTTCAAATTAATGAACTTTACAAAACTTACATAGAAGTAAGCCATTAGACAACAACGTATTTCAGATATTACTCACAGTGATCGGCTTGTGGATTTGCCCTGGAGCTTGACCCTACATAACATATATGGGTCACAAATAATTCAATCCGTTCTTTAATTCACATATTCCTCTTTAGGCTTCATTCTTATCTCTTTAGTTCAATCACAATGCTCAATGTATGCCTAGGAGTGCTTAGACGTGAAAGAGAACGGAAAACAGAACACAGAATGCATTTTTAAAATTTCAGAAAACAGGGTCCCCGCTCGAGCGGACCCTTAAGGCCTGCAAAAGTGCTTGTTAAGTCGAATTTACGCTCGAGCGTTCTTTCTGGCGCTCGAGCGGAAGGCCTCTCTACATGGCTCCCCGCTCGAGCGTGAACTTCCCCGCTCGAGCGAGAGTCATGTCCGCAAAATATGCTGGGAGCACGAATTTCACGCTCGAGCGGCGGTTTCCCCGCTTGAGCGGACATCAATTTTCTGGGTTTTCCAACTGAGTTCTTGAGTTCAAATCCAGCATTCAAACCAATCCAACTTACATTTTATGGCTCAAACTTCAAATATTTTTATGCTATCATGATACAAACACCCATTTACATCAATATGGAGCTCAATTTCATAAATCAAACTCATGCATGTCCCAATTGACACCAAACTCATTTCCAACATGCAAATTCATGCATTCATAGCTCCTATTCTTATAATTTGTACATGCATGTGATGTATTACCCTTGTTCTCAACCTAGATGATGCAAATGGTGTTCATTCTCATGAAACTCAACAAAAAACATGCTTGCATGTATGATTTAACACTCATAATTCCATATTCAACTTAATACATGCTTGATTATACAAAATCATGGTGATCCTATACATGCATGTGCATTTTAACTTCAAATTCATCAATTAAAGCACAACTCTTGTTCTTGATCACCAATCAAACTTGAATTCACAATTTACAACATTAAACTCATGAATTCACTTACCTAGAGGCTCAATTCTTCCAATCTATGGTCAAATCTAGAGAAATCTTCAAGATTTCCAAGCTTTTAAGATCAAACTCCAATTTTGAGCTCCCTCTCTCTCTATGGCCGACTCTCTCTCTCTCTCTTAGAGTTATAATCAGCCAATTTGAATAACCAAAGGGGTATTGAACATATATGGCCCCTTATAAGCCCCCACTCAACCTATTATTTTATTACAAAACAATTGGGTACTAAGTCATTAATTTAAATCAATTTAATATGATCCGAATTAATTTTCAATCAAATTTCCCCGTAGGCTCTAAAAATTATGCCAATCACAATGGCGTAGTCAATTTCGGGTTTCGTGGCCGATAAGGCCTTCAATTTAATTTTCAAAACAGATAATCAAATAGATATTCCTACGGTGAACAGACAGAAATTCAAAACCACATATTTTCACATAATGGCACACCAAATCATATTAAACACATAATCATACTCACATTAAGGACCAATTAACATAATACAGAACAAGGGTCTTGTGACGCCCCGATTCTACACTATAGGTTGTAGTCAAGGGAAGTCACTAGTGAGTCCTATGGCCAATAACCAAGTAAGATCCCAGATCGCTGGAGGAGTCAAAATAGTCTCCCTTCTAAGTCCAGCTTTCTTAGGCAGCGCACTACCTTTTTGACAGATCTTACAAGGCATTGACACAAGGTCTCATAAGCAACGATAAGGTTCATACATAGAATATAAATACATAATAACCACAATATACTTGCTTCAAAAGATTGTTCCATTACATTACATCCCAAAAAGAAAGTTTTAAACTTCAAATGAGTCTTACAAAATATCCAAAAGGAAACTTCTAATATTCTAGGATATATATATATATATATATATTATGAGATGGGGGGCGGGAGGAGGGCAGTAGGGAGGAAGGTTTAAAGGAAGTTGTGCGAACTTCAGAGGAAATTTTTAGAGACAGAGACAGAGAGTAATACTGCTGTGTGTGAGAAAGAGAGAGAGTGAGAAATAGGGAGAGGGGTGTGTCCGTCTGTGTCGCACTGTCTCTCTGCAGGGAAAACTGTGGGTATTTTGGGGAGATGTTTGTTGTTGTGGTTGTTGTTGTTGTATGTGTTTGGAAAGGGGGGGCAGTAGTATTCTGTTCAGAACCCCGGCCCCAATCAACCCTCTTCCTTTCATTTTTTAGTGACATGAAGAAGCAAGCATTAAAAGGCTTTAACCATTCCATTAGTATCAATGTAAGATAAATAACATGCTAATCAGTGACGGTCAGCTAAAGCTTCCCTTTCATTTTTAGCGAAAAAACAAAGGGAAGCTTATGCAATATGCATTGCATAGCGTATGTTTGTGCTAGCCGATATTATCATCATGATGTCGTCCTCCAAGATTAACGGATTAAAAATAAATAAATAAATAAATAAATTGAATAAAAAAAAGTCCAATTTATATGTCAGTTGGATAAAAAAATTACAATATTTTTTTAGAGTGCTCAGTTCGTAAGTTATTTTTATAAACTTTGAAGGTTATAGATCCATGGTCCTTTCGTTTGAATCTATAAGGACGATGATAACGATTGTCACAACCATAACTCGTCCTTATGGGTTAAGGTCATAACCGGCTAGTAATCACGAGATTACCTACGGTCTCAAATCAAATAAGACAAAACTCATCAGGGTAAAGGAGCTGAATGAAAGCAAATTTAAAACTGTCCATAGAGCCGTGCTTATATGCTCATCATAATATTCCACGCATACATATGTTAATAACTCACAAACAGAAAGTATAGTAACATAAAGTTCTATACAGACAAGATCATCCAAAAACTGAATCAACCCATGAAAACTATATACAGACAAATGCAAAGTGCTCGCCAACATGACAAAAATAACATAGCATAACAGAAAGGCGAAGACGAGTCTCGTGCGTGAGACATTAGGGCTGACTCTCCAAAACTCGGTTGTTCCACACAAACTTCACTGCGGCTGGGTCTGGACCTCTCTTGACTCACCTA